ACATTGTCTTCAAGTTTCCCTTTTTGTTAGTGATTTTGAACCAATTTTTTTTGTCTTTCTTTTTTGGATATAGGCTCTGGTTGTGACCTAGGCTGACTTGGAACTCACTATGTGAGCACAAGCTGGTCTTGAAACTTTCAGTCCTCCTTTGTCAGACTCCCCAATGGGGGAATTTCAGATATTTGCCACCAAACAGAGCTGACTTAATTTTCTGTGTTGTGTGCATATGTATGTGCATTTGTATGAGACAGAGAGGGGGGAGGAGAGCAAGATCAGTGAATGACAGACAGAGAGTCAAGTAGAGACACACAGAGAAACAAAAGGACAGAGACAGAGACACAGAGACAGAATGACAGAGAGCAACATACAGATAGAGACAAAGGCAAAGAGGGACAGAGTCATAGAGAGACAGAGAGGAAAAGGAAGGAAAGAAGGAAGGAAGGAAAGAGAAGGAAGAAAGGAAGGAAGGAAGGAAGGGAGGGAGGGAGGGAGGAAGGAAGGGGGGAGGGAGGGAGGGAGGGAGGGAAGGAAGGAAGAAATATATCATCCTTTTAATCTATGGTATTTTCAAATTTGTGGATGATGGCTCCTGATGTATTTCTTTTAAAATAAATCATTGTGCTGAATACTTGAGTGATCTTTAGTTCAGAAGTTCAGTTGATTTAGTCCTAAAAATATTCTTGCAAAATTCTTTGATATGCCCTACTCCATTTATTTATTATCTTGCAACAAATTATTAAAAAATTTAGTACCTTAAAATAAAACTGTCTTATTATCCCTTAAGATTCTGTGAGTTGGATATCAGCTGACGTCGTTCTCACTTGTTCTTCATGTGCTTAGAGTCTGATGGTGACAGGAGCTAGGGATAGTGCCATTTGAAAACTTTACTCACTGGCTGTTTAATAAAGCTTCTTTATTCCCATGTCTAGCACCTCATATGGAATGGTTAGAACACCGAGGATCAGCCAGGCATTTCTCTCCACATGTGAGTGTCCTTATAGCATGGATAGCTCAGGGTAGTCGACTTCTCACACTGGAGGCTGGGATTCCCCCAGAGAACACATTGAATGTTCTAAGAAATAGGAAGCAGAACCACTAATCCTTTTAAATCAGGGATTCTCGGCAGGGGATTATTTTGCCTCAGGGGGAGGGGCTGGGAGGATTATTTGGCAGTGTTTCTTAGTTGTCACAAGTAGAGAGAGGATGCATCCATAACATCAGAAGGAAGACTATTTACTAGACATCCTATGTTAAGTAGGATAGTCTGATACAATTATACAACCCAAAATGTCAATAGGGCCAAGTGTGATTTTCAAAAAACACCTGTTTTAAAGTGTCAAACCAGGACAAAGGAATCATATGTTGGAGGATTAATCTCTAAAGAGTTTGAAACAAATGAGCACTACACAGTGACATCAGACATACCCAAGAATGAAGACATCAATTAATTCATCGTGAATTAATTGAAAGTTTACATATTAATCATTAAGATTGTGGTTGCTAATTTTGTCAAGTTGAAAGGTGTTTTGTGTGAAATAAATATATCAATTTTTGACATTACAGACATATTATTTTGTGTAATGACACTACATGATATTCTTGCTAAGAGCCTGATGACACATTTCTTATAATGTGTCCTTATCTTTAATGCACTCATTAATATGTCTATATTCAAGTTTGTATATCTAGGCAGAAGCTTAGATGATTCTTTGGCAAAACTCTGTAGAGGATCATAGCATATGACATTGGCCATTTCATTCTGCACATGAATCCTGTAAAACATCCCATGATATTAATTGATAAGCTTCACTCACTCAATCTCACATATCTCATTCTTTTTTTTCTTTTCCTTTGGTGGACTCGGGGCTTTGAACCACTCTGGTTTTGGTTGCCATAGCTTTGTAGTAGATTGAGTGCAGATTTTCTCTCTCTCCCTACTTCTCTCCCTTCCCCGTCTCTCTGTCTCTCTGTCTCTGTCTCTGTCTGTCTGTCTGTCTGTCTGTCTGTCTCTCTCTCTCTCTCTCTCTCTCTGTATTGTCATCCAAGATTGCAACAGGCTCTAACCCCTAGATTTCATTCATTTTTGCTTAACCTCAACACAAATGGGTTTAGTGTGTGTGTGTTTGCTTGGGTTTGAACTCAAGGCATCTGTATTGGTTAGGTAGATGTTCTAGAACTTGAGGGATTTCCCCAGCTTTGGTGCAGGGTTTGACATGGCACAGAATATGAAAATCATGGGGGGGAAGGGAGGGACTGGGAGGATTGGGTGGGGGCAGGGGGAGGATGGGAAGGGATGGAAAGGGGAAACAAAGGAGGAGGCTACAATTCTTGATAAGAAATGTACTTATTATCTTGCCCATGTAATTGTAACCCCTCTGTACAGTATTTTCACAATAAAAAAAACAAAAAAATTAATTAAAAAAAAGAAAAAAAAGAAAATCATGGGAAATGTAGTGGCAGAGGTCTTTGAATTGAGAATTGGATTTCTTGCATTTTCTCTATTGTTTTATATTTGTGAAACTTTTGAAGTAAGGTCAATTAGATAAGAAAAAATAAATTGGAGCAAAACAAACAAAATTATTTCTATTTGCAGGTGGCAAGATCTCATGAAAATAAAATCACAAGGGATTAACATGTCTATTAAAGCTAATAAATTAAGAAAACTCCAAGATGCAAAATCAATACACAGAAATCAGTTTTAGAGCTAAACACTAGCCATGATCAATCTGTAACATAAATGAAGATAACCACTTCATTTACAGTCAAAAAGAATAAAATATTTAGGAAAAAAATTAGCAAAGGAAGTGCTGGGAGATTTAAATACTGGAAACCAAGAAAATATTGCTAAAAGAGGCCAGGTTCAGTGGCTCACACTTGAAATCCTACCTACTCAGGAGGCTGAGATTGTTAGGATCAAGGTTTGAGGCCAGCCTGGATAAAGAGTGAGATGCATCTTAACCAATAAAAGCTAGGAATTGTGTCATCCTACTATTATACCAGCTACACAGGAAACATAAATAGATTCCCAATGCAGGCAGGCCTGGGTATTTATGCAAGACCTTATTTGAACAACAACTAAAGTGAAAAGTGATGGGAGTATGGCTCAAATGGCAGGGTACCTGTCTAGCAAGTTCAAAACCTGAATTGGAAACAGTAGAATTTATATAAAATAAATTCCTAGCTAGATCTAAAATATAACTAGGCATGATAACCTACACAGGACTCTAGGCATTCACATACAAACTGTCAGAATAATTGAGGATACCCTTAGGGGAGTAACCCAAAAGTGTAAATTCTCTGAACATTTAAAATACTATCTACAGAAATGAATACTAGGAAAATGGAAACACTAGATTTTTGTTATTGTTGTTGGTGATGGTGATATTTGGTTTTGCTTTTTTTTTTTTGCTTGGTTTTGGTGGTGGGAGGGAAAAGGGGAGAGCAGAGAAAGGGAGGGAGGAAGGGTGAACAAATGCAATCAATATACACTATGTGGAAAATGAACTATGTAACTTGTGGGCAGTGATGGGAGGAGGAAACTGGAGGAAAGTGAAGGAAGAGGTGACATTGTCCAAAAAAAGAAATCTACTCATTATTTGGCTTAGGAAGTGGTAACCCCTCCATGCAACACCTTAATAATAACAATAAAATTATATTTAAAAAAGATAAACCAGGCACCAGTGGCTCACGCCTGTAATCCTACCTACTCAGGAGACTGAGATCCTAGGATTGTGGTTTGAAGCCAGCCAGGGCAGAAAAGTCCCCATGAGACTCTTATCTCCAATTAACCACTCAAAAACACAAAGTGGTCCTGTTGTTCAAGTGATAGAGTGTTAGCCTTTAGCGCAAAGAGGCTCAGGGACAGCACTCAAGTCCTGAGTTCAAGCCCCAGAACCAACAAACAAAGGAAATTAAAGGCAAAAATAAAATAAATTCCTTAAAGTTAATGCCAAAATCACAACCCAATTAACAAAGGGGCAAAATATTTAAATAAACATTTCTCTGAAGATATATCAGTGGCCTATGGGAGGGACAATAAAAATCACGTGGTTTTTTGTCATCTACAAATCATCCTACTTAGATGACTATAATAAAAGGCAAGTGTTGACAAAGATAGAAAAAAATTAATACCTTCATACATTGCTAATGAAGATACAAAATGCTGAACCCACTTTAGAAATCAGTCTGCAAATTTCTTAAAGTTGAAACACGAGCTGGGCAACAGGGGCTCACACCTCTAATCCATGCTACTCAGGAGGCTGTGCTCTGAGAATCATGGTTCAAAGCCAGTCTTGGTAGGAAAGTCTGTGGTTCAAATGGTAGACAGCTAGTCTTAAGCAAATGCTCACGGAAAGTACCGAGGTCCTCAGTTCAAGCCCCCAAACTGGCACAAAAATGTAAGTTGAAATTGCTATAAATAAAGTTGCTGTAAGATCTAGTAAATCAATCACATATACTTGGAAGAAAGCAAAATACACACACAATAACTTGTACATAGATGTTCATACCAGATTCACAACTGACATGATACGTCTATCAAGATAAAAATGTATTATAATTGAAGGGCATATTATTCAGCTATAGCAAGGAATGAAGTAATGACACGGTATACCATTCACGGACCTGAAATGACTGTGCTAAATTAAACAAGCCAAACACAAATGATCACACACTATATGGTCTCATTTATGGATACTATCCCAAAGTAACAATTCAATTTCCTGGAAACAGAGAACATTACTAAGAGACAGAGCAGGTTTGGTGGAAAATAGGAAGAGACTATTAATTGGTATTCTTTTTTGGGAGTAATAAACATTCTCTGGAATTAGGCACTGATGATGGTTGTATACCATGGTGAATATACTCAAAACCCCTAAAACATTTAGAATGGTTTTATGTTAACCATACCTCAATAAAATCAATTTGAAATGTTTTTGTGAATGTCACAAAAATTAATGTTCCATTAACTGTAGTTTGGGATGTAACAAATCACAACTATCTGTGAAGAGTCTTTTTATTAAGATAAATCCAGTAATTTTACGCATACACATATCATTGAAACTGCCCTTTTCAAATAAACATTTGCACTTCTTTGAAAAATGAAATTACAACTTTATACTTTCCGCAACTACCAACAAAGTTATATTTGGGAAAGGTGATTCTAATTCTTAGCAATACATGAAAATAGTCCACCTTCTTTACAAAAGCCACCTAGAGAACCACAAGAAGGCTGAATGAAACTTTCTTTTGGAATCTCCCTACTTTGTGAAATTATTCTCTATATAGGAATAAAATTAAAAAAGAAAGATTTAGCGCATAACTTATAGAAAAGGAATTCATTGACAAAGATGAAAGCATCTCTTATGCATCCACTACAACCATCAGAAGTTTTATAAAGATGTCAAGTTAGGCATTTTGTGACTAATGATCTGTATAACAATGTTTCAAAATTAAATGATACTAAAGAAAAAGCAGCGTTTATAAAATATTTGATAAAAATATTTATCTCTATTAACATTAAAACATGAAGGTATGTTATCAAATTATGAAATTATATAGGGCAGCTTAAACAATACTCTGAGATTTGTCTTCATTTTCAGCTTCTTTTCCAACTTCAGGTTTGTTTTGAACTTCCTTTTCATCTCCTTCATCTTCCTTATCATCTTCCTCTTTCTCATCCTCTTTTTCTTTTTCTTCTTCCTTCTGTTTTCCACTTTCTTTCTCACTTTCACCTTCATTTTCCTTTCTGTCTTCCTCTTCTTGTTCATTTTTTTCTTTATCTCCTTCATCATTTCCATTTCCATCCTTTCCCTCATCTACATTACTTTCCCCATCTCCATCCTTCCCCTTATCTCCTTTATCTTCATCTCCATCCTTTTCCCCATAACCATCTTCTTCATCCTCATCCTTTGCCCCATCAATGTCCTCTCCTCCATCTCCATCTTCTTCCCCATTACCATCCTTTTCTCCATTTCCATCTTTTACCCCATCATCGTCCACTTCAACTGCATCCTTTTCATCACCATCTTCTTCTTCGTCTCCATCCTTTTCCTCATCACTGTCTTCTTTTCCATCTCCATCCTTTCCCTCATCTCCACCCTCTTTTTCTCTGTCTCCATACTTACTTCCATCTCTACCATTTCCTCCAGACTCTTTTCTACCATCTTGTTTCTCTTTTGCATTTCCACCTTCTTTATCATCTCCCTTCTGTTTCAGTTTTTCTACCTTTTCCCCAGATTCTTCCTCATCTCCATAACTATCCTTGTTTACATCTTCCTTCTTGTCTTCTTTGTCCCCTTTTCCATCTTGTGGTTTATCTTGTTTATTTTGATCTTTTTCATTTTCTTTCTTTTCTCCTTCCACTTCTTCAATATTTTCATTTTTTTCTACTTTGATTTCTTCAGCTCCTTTTTCAGCAACAGGTCGCTAGGTGTATAGAGGAGAAAACCCAAAATTATAAAATTAGTAATTTAGAATTATTTCTCCTACATTTTTATCAGATTGAATCTATTTCAATGGAAGAACAATATTTCTTTTACCAGAAAGTAAATTTCTCCTGGATAGATCACAACATGAGCAAAATATGCTAATAACTAAAATTAAAACTGTCTCCATACAAATAGCTATAAATAGATATTTGCAGCAATAAATTCAGTACAGTTTATTCATATAAAGGATTTCCATTACAAAAATGAGGAAGCACAAAGTAAATACTTAAAGGATGACATAGAATTAATCTGTTTCACCATATTTTAAATTCATTTTTTCTCCTTAGATACTATTACACAATAGAACCTCTTTGTTTAATGTTTCTTAATTTTTAAACTAAAATGCAAGTAAGATTTTTTTCATTGTGCCCATTCTTAAGCTTTCAAGTGGATCAATTTGTTAACATGGTATGATACCTCAATAATTTTGGCTTCTCCGTTCTCAGAATTTTCTGTGTTGGGTGCTTCCTTGGCAAATTCTTCTTGATCGCTTTCAGACATCATTCTGGTATTTGTATTAGTGTTTTCTTCCATCTCATCATTTTTAGTCATCATTTTCTGTCCAGCAACACAAAATATAATAAAAACAAATACACAATTAAGCTATTATATTATTTGGCCACAATTACTTTGCAGGCTTTCTATAATTTAAGGAACTCTGATATCTGCATATAAACTGAATGTCAACAAAATTAACAAATAACGTGTGTGTGTGTGTGTGTGTGTGTGTGTGTGTGTGTGTGTGTGTGTGTATGCTAGTGTGGAGATTTGAACTCAGGCCCTGTCCCTGTTCCTAACTTTTTGCTCAAGGCTAGCTATCTACTACTTAATACATAGCTCCACTTTCTGATGTTTGGTGGTTAATTGGAAATAAGAGTCTCTTGAACTTTCTTGCCTAGGCTGGCTTAGAACTAAGATCTTCAACTCTGAGTCTTTGAGTAGCTAGGATTACAGGCATGAGCCACCAGCACATGGCTGCAGTTTTTATTGTAAGCCTAAAGCAGCATTATAAATTTATAATGTCCTCAATGTAAATAAAAGAAATCTGTTTCTTTGGCAAATTTAATATATTTTCAGACAATATTCTTGGATAAAGAGACCATTAAGTATGTGAAATTGTATTTTAAAGAATTTAATTTTTATATTTTACATAATTCTTATTATTATCTCAGCATTGTTTTCAAAATGTGACAGAATTATTCTGAAGTTCATCAGGAAGAACAAATCAAATATGTAATGTAAAAGAAGACTAATAGTGTCATTATATCAGATAATAAAACACATTGCAAAGCAGTAACAAGAATAGATAATATGCATTATACACTTGTTATATGATAGGCACTATTTTAAGCAAATTGCATTAACTTATCTGATCCTTACAAACAGTATGAGGTGGGGGGTGGGAGGAGTTGGGGAAGTGGGGAAGGAAATGATGGTAGGGGGAAAATAAAGGAGGAGGTAACAATGCTCACTATGAAATATACTCATTACCCTATTCATGTAATTGTAACCCCTCTGTACAACATTTTTACAATAAAAAAACAAATAGTATGAGGTATGTATGTTTATTCCTATTTTAGACATAAAGTCAGAATTAGGTAGATGACAGATAAATTAATGGAACAGAACAAGTAGCCTGAGAACAGACATATGTATGCATGAATGTGTGTGTGTGTGTGTGTGTGTGTGTGTGTGTAAATCATACTCTAACCAATTAGAACACAAAAGTCAGTGGGTAAGGGTTAAGTCATGATACTAGTTCATTTGTTCTTCAAACCTGCTCTCATTAAAACAATTATATTGCTGGGCACCAGTGATTCATGTCTATACTCCTAGCTACTCAAAAGATTGAGATCTGGAAGGTCTCTGTTCAATGCAGAAAAGTCGAAGAGACTCCATCTCTGATTAGCCAACAAAAAGTCAGGCTGAAGACTGAGACCTTGAGTTCAAACTCTAGTATTTCCCTCATCCAATGCAATCATGTTGGGATTGTTTGTTTTAAATACACAACCTGAAGTTGTACCACCGAAGTTACAGATTTTGACAGCTCTGGGCTGAGGCTTGAGTTCCTGTAATTTCATTCAGCTCCAGCAATTCTGATGCTCTGGGAGTTTTACTTGTAATTAGCATATTCAATGCATTTTAAAATGCCTTTTTTGCTACCAATTCTTAACTTGTGTACTAGTAGAAAGACTATTGTGTTAAGGGACCAGAAAACCTTTGTTTGAATTCTGAATCTGCCACTTATGTAATATTTTCTTGATCAGAATCTTAAAGTTTGATGCCGTTTTCTTACGTAAAAAGAGATTAATACCCCCTATTTCACAGGGAGGCAAATGACAAATGAATGTGAAATTGAGTTAGAACTTGTAAAGTGCAATATAGATACAAGTTATTGCTCTCCTAACAAATAAGAAACTGAAAAAGTTCGTGTGTGTGCGTGTGCATGTGCGTGTGTGTGTGTGTCTGTGTGTGCACACACGCCAGTCATGGGGCTTGAACTCCCTTAGGCACTGTCCTGAGCTTTCTTTCCCCCAAAGGCTAGTATTCTATCACTTGAGCCACAGCTCCACTTCCAGCTAATTTTTTGGTGGTTAATTGGAGATAAGAGTCACATGGACATTCCTGCCTTAGCTGGGTTTGAACCATGGTCCTCTGTTCTTAGCCTACAAAATAGCTAGGATTACAGGCATGAGTCACCACCACTCAGGCTTAAATCACTTTTAGTATTGTATCTGCAACTATATTCTCTCTGTGTGTCTCTCTGTCTCTCTTTCTCTCAGAACTGAGGTTGAACTCAGAGCTTTATCACTGAGCTATAACCCTAGCCCTATATTTACTGTTTTAATAACTCATAAATTGAGTGTCTAAGTTCAGAGAATTAGTGTGCCAGAAAAGTAACATAAAGAAAAATTTTAAAAAATTGGTAATGCTAGGATTTCAATTGTGGGTGTCATGTTTGTTAGGCCAGTTTTTTTTTTTTAATAGTGTCTTGAGTTTTTGCCTGGGGCCAGCCTTGGACCATAATCCCCCTATTTATGTATTCCACATGGCTTGGATTACAGGTGCATGCCACTACACCTAGTGTGTTGGTGATTGTGTTTATAGCCTGGGCTCACCTGGAACCTCAGCCTTCTTAATCTCAACCTTTTGAATTTTACAAGCATTCAGCATCACACTTGGCCTTGAAAATTTCTTTATGTATATTTTTGTTTTCATATTTTATTTTTATGGTTTGTTTATATGATATCCTTACAACTGTAAAACACTGTATCAATATATCAGTTTATTGATTAATAACACTAAATAGCACAGGAAAAATAAATAAAAAGTTTCCTTTCTGTTGTCATTTGTTAGTAATGGTTCCACTATCACTAAAACTTCACTTACCAGGATTATAGCCATTTTTTCAAGTACAAAAATAATGGAATTAGGTTATTTCAAAAGTATATGAGTCTTAACCTTTTATGACTTTTGGACTTTAATCCTTAAAATCTCTAAATAAGCTATGCAGCTGTTGGTCAAACCTGAGATCCTAGCTACCTGAGAGACTGAGAACAAGAGGATCAAAGTTTCAGACCATTGTGAACAACACTGGAATCTCAAGGTATGTAGTAGGCTGAGAATGAGAGGGTCACAGTTCCAGTTCATATCAAAAAAATTCACAAAAGTCTGTCCTCATGAATGGAGGCTGGATGTGGTGGTGCATACTTGTGATCCCAGAAATGTCAGGAAGCCTAAAGTTCATGACTCAGGCCCTCACTTGATCAGGAAACAAAACCTTATTCTAGAAAAAAAATCCTTAGATATAAAACAATACGTACTTAATACTTAGGTCATTTCTGTTTCTATATGACTTTATCTACATCAGAGCACTGAAGTCTATATAAAATCAATTGTGTCCATTTAAAAATAATATATAGGAGCTGGCATGTAGCTTAGTGTCAAAGTGCTTGCCTCACAAGTGCAATGTCTTGGGTTCAATCCCCAATACCAAAAAAGAAAAGACAAAAAAATGTAAAGTTACTTTGTAAACTGTAAGCTCTTATCAAGTGTTAGTTATCTAGGATTATTACAAAACATTACTTAGTTACAGAAATTTATACACTTCCTTTTATCAACAATATTTTTACTGTGAATATGTCAAAAGTAAATTCACTTTTCCTTTTGTGCTGATACTGGAGCTTAAACATATAGCCTGGGTAGTGTCCTTAACTTCAAGGGGCTCTCTAGCAGTTGAGTCGCAGCTGAAATTCTGGCTTTTTGCTGGTTGATTGGAAATATGAGTTTCAAAGACTTTCCTGCCCAGTCTTGTTTTGAATCATGATCCTCAGATCTCAGCTAGAACTACATGCTTGAACCACTAATGCCTGCTAATGGTAAAGATATTTAATGAGTCCATTTAACTAACATTTTTTTTTTGGCTCTACCCCCAAAAGACACTAAATATAATGGGCAATTACAAAACAGGAAAAAACACTGCCCAACCAAAAGATTTACATGTGCTCTACTCTACAGTATAATATTCTAATAATTGTACAAATGATAAATGATCAGCTCCATGCATTTACAAAATTATTTTGAAGAAAAGCAATTTTATTTTAACCTTAAAATTTGAGTATTTACCCTTAGAGAAGATGTTCTTTTAGGTTTCAGTTCTGGTATATCAGGCACAGGCAACTGCATCATGGAAAAAGAAAAATATATAATTTAAATGGAGTCCTTAGTGTGAAAGATTTCAATCTTGTTATTTATTTTGTTCTATTAATCAAGATTCTGTAAATTTTAAAATTAGATTGCACAACAAAAAAAAAGACTACTTACAGCAGAAAGTCTAGCTGATCTTCTCTTTGGCTGCAAGTAAAGAAAAAAATAATCCGTTAAGAGATTAGAGACATAAAAAGCTACAATGATTTTTATTATGGTGAAAAGATTTGGAGTAACACTACAAATAAAATGTTACTAAAGAAGCAATTGTGCTGGGAAAGAGTAATGGAAGAGGTGACATTATTCCAGAAGAAATGTACTTTGTCTAACTTAGGCAACTGTAACCCCTCTGTACATCACCTTTATAATAACAATAAAAAACTTAAAAAGAAGCATTTGTGAATTTAGGTAGACAATATCCTAATAAAAGTAAAGTTTTCCATTTTCCTATCTTGTGAACCCTTTATAAGTAAAAGGGGAAAATTCCCAAATAAAGCTACAGTTTCTAGGCTCAATTAATACAATGGCTATCACAAAGCCCAAAGCAATGTATTTTATTTTATTTTATTTTGGGGGGGGGGGTTCAGTCGTGGGGCCTGAACTCTGGGATTGGGCACTGTCCCTCAGCTCTTCAGCTCAAGGCTAGTGTTGTACCACTTGAGCCACAGCGCCACTTCCGGCTTTTTTCTTTTTGCTTATGTGGTACTGAGGAATCGAACCCAGGGCCTCAGGGATACAAGGCAAGCGCTTTACCACTGAGCCACCTTCCCAGCCCCAAAGCAATGTATTTTAAAATGAAAATATAGCTCCATCTTTCCAAAAGCAAAGTGATTTTTATGCTTAATAAAAGACTTTCCACAGAAGTGGAGCTGTGGCTCGAGTGGTGGAGCACCAGCCTTGAGTGAAATAACTCAGAGACAGTGCCCAAGTCCTGAGTTCAAGCCCCAGTATTCGGATGCGCGCGTGCACACACACACACACACACACACACACACACACACACACACACACACACACACACACAAAAGGTGTGCTCCAGATCTTAGGTCTTAACCAGTGCAATAAGGGCCTAAGTTCCAAGAAGTTTGCAGTTCTGGAGACTGTGTGTGTGTGTGTGTGTAAAGAGAGAAACTATATATATAGTATGTAGTATATGTATACATATTTATGTGCATGTGTGTATATATATTCATATATATATATATATATATATATATATATATAGAGAGAGAGAGAGAGAGAGAGAGAGAGAGAGAGAGAGAGCCACACCTCCAGTTCTGATTTTTTGGTGGTTAATTGGTGATATGAGCCTCCAGTACTTTCCTGTTCAGTCTGGCTTTGAAACTGTAATCCTCCTATCTTAGCTTCCTGAGCTAGGAATAGAGGCGTGAGCCACCAGTGCCTGGCCATATAATTTTGAAGAGCTCACTGGAATACCATAGTGATGATTTCATGGTACAAACATACCATCTATTTTGACCTGTGGATAGGTGTGTGTGTGTGTGTGTGTGTGTGTGTGTGTGTGTGTGTGTGTGTATGTTTGATGCTGGTACTGGAGCTTGAACTAAGGGCCCCAGTGCTTTCACTGAACCTTTTTGCTCAAGTGTAGAGCTTGTCCACTTGAGCCACAGAGGTCCACTTCTGGTAATTCGGTGGTTAATTAGAGCTAAGTGTCTCACAGACTTTGCTGCCCTGGCTGGTTTTGAACCAAGATTCTCATATCTCAGTCTCCTGCATGGTTAGGGTTACAGGTGTGAGCCACCAGCCCAGTCTGTTAGGTGTTTTGAAGTCTGTCAAAATGAGTGCATTTTGGACAAATTTAAAAACTGAACACTTACCTCTTTCTTCATATCATCTTGACCTGCAGCCTATACAGAGGAGGAGAAAACAAAACAAAAGCGACACACATAAGAAATAAGAACATCAGTATAAGCATATGGATCAGAGAATATTGCCTATGGATTATGGTTGTAATATAGATGCTTATTTTCTTGGGTTCCTGCTCAAGCAGCCACATGTTCCCCCCACACACATCCCCTCCAGGTATGTTACATTCTTCTGTCTACTAAAGCACAAAGGTTCATGTTCTAATACGTAATTGCTAGCTCCAGGCAGTTGCCTAAAAAATTGATATGAAATTTTATCTTTTTGTTCAAAGAACATCTTGTGAAAAGAACACAGTTCATTCTGAAGCCCACCTGCAGTGTTAAAACCATAATGGGGGTGAAGGCCGGTCAAATGAAAGCGGAAGTTCATGCAATTTCCCAGTCTCTCTTGCCTTGTTTTATTACGAAATTGTACTTATTTGTCCTTCTGTTTTGATTTTGGAGTATTCCCTTGCATAAATTCTGCATACAAAACTATTTCCTCCACAATGCTATGAGCAAAGGGAGAGAACTTCTTTGTTACAAAGTCAATGCTTTTATTCGGAAAAGCTAGCTGCGGATTTTAAAACTTCCCGCCGCTTCTACCTTGCACAAGGTTGCTGTCAACTCGGAAAATAGAAAGATCCATTGCATAAGCCTGGAAAAGCAAAGTGAAAACCTCAGGGAGGGAGATGGTGATTCGAAACAACTGCTTTCTGTATCTGAGTAGTCTTTTAGCTCAGAATTATCAATCGATTGCGCGACTCATATAGCCCCAGAGCACCGGGGAATCTCAGCCTTAGAAGTAAAATATAAAACAAGTCAGAGTGTTTATATTACCAGTGTTTTATAATTTTACCAAGCACCCAAACAGTGTTGATTTCAAAATATTCGGCACTCAGGAAAGAAACGAACAAAAAAGCCCCCATAGAACCCCGTAGAGTTAACTTATTTCTTTCTTATGTGTGAAGCTAGGAATTGGAACGGGAAGGTTTGCAGAAGATCTGTAGCCCTTGAATATTTCAGACCATTTCTGCATGTCAAAAGTGAACAAGTCTCACAGTGTTCCAACATCTGCAATAGTTTATCCGACGCAACTTTAATCACCATTCCACCTTTAACTAGAGAGCTAGGAGCGTGCCAGGTCTTCCAACCCCAAAGTTTCTCATTACAACAGTGAATCTCTCCCTTCTCTAGGACAGTTTGAAGTCTGCGCCGCCTAATGGCACAGGATTACCATTGCATAGCCATCTGGCATGACAAGAAGTGGAGGAGGGAAGGGAGGAAAAAAAAAGGAAAAAGAAAATGGGAAGAACAAAGGCAAATGCGGGAGAAAGCCGTGGCTTTTCGATCCCTCAAACGGGACGGTTCCCCGATAGAAGCAGGCGGCCGAGGAGGAAACCGGTGCCTGGAAGTGTGGCTGGGAGAAGTGTTCTCCAATAGGGTAAGCGGAGGAAGGGGGGTGGGGTAGGAAGCGACAGCAAGCGCTATGGCTGTTTGTAATTCAGCATGGAGACACCTCTCAGGCGATTCTTTCCCTTAAACAAAACACACCAAAAGTGAACTACCAGTTGCATGGGAGGCCATCCTAAACCTTAAACCGACTGCTCTTCCCCTTTCCTTCCTCTTCCATTCAACACATCACAAAATCAAACTAGAAGACAAAAATGTCCCCTCTTGATATATATATATATATACATATATATATACATATACACATACACGTATATATTAAAATCTCTGCCTTCGAAAATATGTATTTCAGCAGCTAATCTACCTTCTGTCTTCTCATTTCACTTACCTTTCTTTTGGGCATTGTTGCAGCTCCCTATAGGAGATCGTAATAGCAAGAAAAAAAAAAAAGGCGAAAGCAGCCACTGCCTGGCGCCTCCGAAAGCAACTGAGTTTTCAATGAACTAATTGCAGCACGACCTGTACTCGCCTTCAAAAAAAAAAAAAATCTCTCGTTATTGGCAACATTAAACACGCCAAGACGCAACCAAACTACGTGAATGGTTAGCAGGAGTGGGAGCCAGATTGGAGTGACAGGCTGTCAAGCCAATAAGAGGAAGTGGCCGGTCTCGGGGGCGTGGCCCGCGAACTTGCCCAAAGACCTGGTAAAACTGGCGGCATTGGCTGTTGGTTGGGTTCGCGTGAGGATTTAGTAGATTCACCGTGCTAAAATGTAACTGGCAGAAAATCCAGAGTGATTTTGATTTTTTTTTTCGCTTCTCTGTTGTAATGGCAGGCGAAAAGCAACTAAATGTCCAAATCCCTCACCTTTTCCTCTTCGCGGGGGTGGGGGTGGGGAGTGGAGTGATTTTGAGATCTGCTTGAGTCTGGTTGCCGGTTGGTCTCCGTCACTTTTAAGAGGGTAGGAATAAAGTAACAGGAGCACTCTTTCACCGAATGGAACCGAGTGGAAATGCTTCTCAGGCCCTGGGAACTTCCCGCCAAAGTACAATTGCCCGGGTTTCTAAAGTTGCCAAAAACTGCGCGCCTCCCGCAGGTGCAGAGAAGAAACAAATCTGGGAACTGGGAGAGCCAGAGGCATCTGAACGCTGGGATATGTCTGGGTTAAAATCCCATTTTCCCACTTGGAAGGACTCCAATAGGACCATGAAGGAAGTTTGTAATGCCAGGAGGTCTATTCAGGGTAAAAACATTGACAAAGTGGGGTTTCCATGCAAAGGGGAGGGTTAATGAGACAGACTTAGGAAAGTGTTAAACTTAATATGTTTTAGAATTAGGAACACAGGCTAGCACAGGGCTATCCAGGCACTCACCTCCGAATGAAACTTAAGGTTTTGTCAAAAACGAAGGTTCTGGACGCAGGTGGTTCACACCTGTAACTACTCAAGAGGCTGATATTTGAGTATCACAGTTCAAAGCCAGCTGAGGCAGCCAAGTCTATGAGATTCTTATTTCCAATCAACCAGCAAAAAGCTGGAGATGGAGCTGTGGCTCAAATGGTAGAGTGGAGAAAAATAAAACCTAAAGGAGGGCTGGGAAGGTGGCTCAGTGGTGCTTGCCTTGCATGCATGAGGCCCTGGGTTCGATTCCTCAGCACCACATAAGCAGAAAAGGCCAGAAGTGGCACTGTGGCTCAAGCAGTAGAGCGCTTGAAGAGCTGAGGGACAGCACCCAGGCCCAGAGTTCAGGCCCCACAACTGACAAAAAACAAACAAACAAACAAAAAAAACACCTAAGGGAGGGCACCAAAGCCCTGAGTCCAAGCCCCAGAACAGACACAAAACAAAACAAATAAACCTCAAACAAATAAAAGCCCCACAAAGTTTTGTGTGATGCAAATCATGTAGCTACCTTTATTTAAAATTTGGATGTTATTTCATAATGGACTTTTTGTTTTGTTTTTAAGCTATTGCATTAAAATGTGAATCTTTATCACTGAGTTTGGAGTGATGTCCTTAAATTTTTGTCTAAGAAGGTTATTTCCCTACTTTCAGACAAGATAGGTAGCTTTTTACTCTAAGAAACGTTTATAGCTGCCTTTCCAATGTCAGTTCCTGAGACCTAAAACTTCTGAAGATGATGTGCTAAAGGAAAAACAGCACTTGGGAAAAACTGTGGCTACAATGGAGTACTCAGGATTCTGCAGTCCTTTTGGAATTGCTCCTTGTTTAGGTGTTATACAGGAAGGGCTAATTGCATTTAAATAACTGCAACACTCAATGTTTAGTCAAAAACGAAATTAACTTTCAAACAGTTAAAAATTCCACTTATATTTCTGTGTTAAAAAATTGAATTAGCTGGGGCATCAGTGGCTCTAGCTACTCAGGAGGCTGAGATTTGAAGATCCTGGTTAAAAGCCAGCACTGTCAGGAGCGTCTGTGTGACGCTTATCTCAAATTAACTACCAAAAAGGCAAAAGTGGAGCTGTGGATCAAGCAGTTGAGTGCTATCCTTGAGCAAAAGAAGCTTAGGGACAGCACCCAGGCCCAGAGTTTAAGCCCCAGGACCAGCAAAAATAAATAACTACATAAATACCACTATATATATATATATATATATATATATATATATATATATATATATATATATATATATAAAATCAGTTTAAAAGGCAAATAGTAGCCAGGCTGATGCCTGTAATCCCAGCCCTGTAGAAGTTGAGGAATGTCAGTGGATACCCCTCCATGTTCTTAACGCCTCTTCTACCATTATGGCGAAAGTGTTGGATAAACCTAGGTATATGTCAACCATTTTAAATTACAAGAGTTGGAAAGTAAGGTTTAAATAAGGTTCAGTATTTAAGGATGACATCATATAGATACAGAGAAAACTAGAGAAATGGAAAATGTGTCAGCATTATAATGCATTCACTCAACAAATTCTAATTTTGCAATGTTTTGTGAGTTGGATTTTTGTTGCTGTACAATAGGTTATGAAAATGCAAACCCCTGTGGCATATAAAGTTGCATTATACACTTTCTTCCCTGAAGGACTTATTTCTTTGTGGGATTGAGCAAACAGATACATTCCTATTTACAAATCAAGATTGTTGTTATATAAATGGTACAGACTGTGTTCAATGATAGAACAGAAGGGAAAGATCTTTTAGAACCAAGGTAAATTGCACAAAGCTTTTGTTGAGGAGATGGGGTTTGACTTGGCTCCAAACTATTGAGTACAACGTTATAGCAAATGTAGAGCCAGACAAAGTTTCTACTTGTTCAGAGAACAGAATACCAATTGACAGTAGATTGAAACAAATCACGGTGATGTGCTTTGGTTGATAACTAAATGTGTAGAGCAGTAAACTCTAAAATTCTGCAAGTTTGTTAGGAATTTTCATTTTTGTTAGTTGTTCTGTATTTTAACCTGTTGCTCTTCTGATTTATATGTTCTCAAATTGCAAACATAGTCATTCATGAATGCATAAGACAAAACTCTATTTGTGGAACGTTCTTCCATTTTTTCTAACCAATTATCACTTGGTGTATGCTCTTTGCTATTACTATATTTTTACCTCTGCACTGTCCTCATTCTCTTAAATTGTCAAGTACCAAATGTTTTGATCCTAATGCCTAATAATTTTAACAAAAGCCTTCTCCAATAATTTCAGCTCAATAAAAATTCTTCCAGTGACATGTAAGCCTAGCTACTCAGGAGGCTGAGATCTCAGGATCTTGGTTCAAAGCCAGCCCAGTCAGGAAAATCTGTGAGATTCATCTCCAATTAGACACTATAGAGCCAAAACCAGAGCTGTGGCTCAAGTGGTAGAGCACTAGCCTTGAACAAACAAACTCAGATACATCACCCAGGCCCTGAGTTCAAAGCTCCAGGCACACACTAAAACATTCTTTCCTCTATACTATAGAATGTAGATCATTATAATACCAAATCTTAATTTTCATGCCAAATTTAGATGGTTATAAAATTTAGATTCTACCACCATATGACAATAGCAAGCTTGATTTTTTATTTACTTTTATTTGGTGCAAAGACTAGGGTTTGAACTCAGGCATAGGCCCTGTACCTTAGCTTTTTCAACCAAGGCTGGAACTCTACCACTTGATTAAAAACTCCACTTTGGCTTTTGACTAGTTAATTGGAAATAAGAATCTTATGGACTTTTCTGTCCTGGTTGACTTCAAGCCTCCTGTGTAGAAAAAATTACAGATATGAGCCAACAGTGCTTGGATTTTTTTTTCTTCTTTTCTTCTTCAATAATGCATCCCTACTTCTTTATCCAGGCTCAAACTTGTATATAATTATTTTTCTTTCCTACATATTTTACCATATCACATTCTACCTACCTCGAGTAAAATTAACTCCTTTTACAATTTTTTTTGAAATTGATAAATTATTTCAAAATAAGTATTTTTGCAGGAAACTTTACTTTTTTGTCAGTTGTGGGGCTTGAACTCAGGGCCTAGGCACTATCCTTGAGCTCTTTTGCTCAAGGCTACTTCTTTACCACTTTGTGTCACAGCTTCACTTCTGGTTTTCTGTGGTTAATGGAAGATAAGTGTCTCACAGGCTTTCCTGCCGAGGTTGGCTTTGAACCACGATCCTCAGATCTCAGCCTCCTGAGAAGTTGGGATTATAAACTTGAGTCATCAACCCTGGCATGGAACTTTACTCTTTACTGAATCTTTTTTTCTAAAATTGTACTTGCTTATTTCTCTTTTGTAATTAATTTGTGAATACCTATGAATGTTGATTTCCTAGCAATTTTCATTTCCTCTGGCTACTAGGCATGCGTAACATAATTGTCAAAATTTAGAGGCTCTGAAGCATGTCCATGCAGCAAACAGTGGGAAATGATGCAGAAAGTTGTAAAATGTTTCAGATGAAAGTCATCAGCATTAAAATGTTTGAAGGAATCCAAAATGAAGTATTAAGGTTATGTTTTATGACAAAAAGATCTTAGTCAAGAATCAAAATTATTTTCAAATGTTCTGTGTACTTGTAGTTTTAAAATTATGTATGATGTGTTATCAAAAGTATTCTAGACACTACTTTGCATGCATCAAGATTTCAAAAGTACCCATTAATACTAATAGATTCTTTTTTCACTAATATCTTTCATTTTGTTCCTACTATTATTACTATTACTATTCCCATTATAGTTCCCAAAATGAAGTTATTTAGAAAGTGTTTAATGGCATTAGCAGCAAATAATAGTGTAAGACTTATGATATATAATCAAACTGTATTGTTGGTTGGTATTTCAGATGGCAAAGTAAGAGTATCATTAGTTAAATAAATTTCTGGGCTTGTCCATAATTTATATGAGGAATTTATTTAGTCTGATGACATTTAGCTGAGACTGATTTTTTTTTGTGCCAGTACTAGAGCTTGAACTCAGTGCTTTACGTTTTTGCTTAGCTTTTTTGCTCAAGGTTAATGCTTTAACTACTTGAGCCACAATTCCACTTCCCTGAGTTTGATTCTTGAAAAATTATAAGGTTGAAGAACCAAAGCTTCCTATTTCATAAGTTTATTTATAGAAGCCTGGAGTAATAGAACACCTAATTTTGAG